GAAATACTGGCAGGAACAGATGAAAAAATGAATAAGAAATCTATCTATTGCGGATTAGACTAGAAGATGAAGAAGTAAAAGAAACAATTATTGCATGGGCAAAGAATTTTGGATATACTAAAGAACTGGAGAAATGGCAACAACTTTGGGAAAGAAACTATAAATTAACAATGGCAACAGCTTATAAAGAAAATTTGTATAAGATGTTTTATAGATGGCATATGTCACCAGAAAGATTAGCTAAGATGTTGAAAGATAAATCAGCTAAGTCTTGGAAATGTCACCAATTGCCGGATCATATTTTCATATGTGGTGGTCGTGTAAAGAAGCAAAATATTACTGGGTGAAAATACAGGCATGGTTAGAGGGAATGTTGCAGCAACATATAGTTAAAACCAGAGATATTCTTATTGGGAATTTTACCGGAGAATTATAGTAAAGAAGATACATATTTGATTATTCATATAATAGCAGCGGCTAGAATTGTATTTGCACAAAATTGGAAAGCAAACAAAATCCTGTTGTGTGGGGATGGTGTGACCTCAGTTGTCGGCAAACCGCACTAGGTAAGCAACGTTACCACAGAATCCTAACCTTATCAGGAATGTAGAAACAGGATGTCTGGCAGAGACCCTATATCAAGATATACCAGGCATGGGGGCCCAACACGTAGGCAATTGTTTGTCACAGGAAATAACATGAGGGAAACACGAGGGATCCATGTGGACTTCACAAGCTTTCTTTAGCCAATCAGCATCCGTAAACGTTGATTGATGTTTTGCCATGATAGTTGTAAAATGAAAATAAAAGGAAGCCTTCTGGATGGGGTGAGTGTGCCTTCCCCAAGGTACCTTGGCACCGAGGTGCCTTGATCAAGGTGCCTTCCACCCGAGGGGCCTTCCCGTGAACCATCATCCTGCCTACGCGTCTTTCTTCATCGAAACAACACTGTTGGAAGGAGAAATTATAAATAAAATTTTAGAATGTGCAGAAATGAATAGATTAACATTGAGAATAAAAGATAAAGAGGAGTCGATGAATTTCAGGACATGGGATAAATTCTATGATTGGTGAGAAAGGAAATATGATTAAGGGTATGGAGATAAAACAGATAGAGAAAAGATGGGAGAAAATAATCAGAAGAATAGAAACCCAGATGATGCCTAAGTAAAAGGAGAAAGGGGAGGGGTGGGGTAAAAGAGAAAAAGTGAGATTATTATGAAAATGTACACAAAGGATGAAATAGATATTATTAATCAAATAAGAAATTTAAATGGGAATAGAGATAAATAGAAAATCGGGGCTGCTCTAATACCACTTTAGATTGAATTGAAAAGGAAAACAACAGGAGAGAGGGGAAGGAGTAGAGAGAGAGGAGGGGAGAAGAGAGGAGGGGACAGGGAGAGAGAGAAGAAAGGGAAAAGGAGAAGAAGAAAAGGGAGGGGAAGGAGTAGAGAGAGAGGAAGGGAGAGGAGAGGAGAGGGAGAGAGAGAAGAAAGGGAAAAGGAGAGGAAGAAAAGGGAGGGGAAGGAGTAGAGAGAGAGGAGGGGAGAGGAGAGGAGAGGAGAGGAGAGGGAAAGAAAGAAGAAATGCGACCACATGTTTATTGGACCCGTGTCCCTCCTGGCTGGTACTGGCCTCCCGGGAAGTTACGCAAGGCTGGCTCCAGGGTATTATCAACGCTTCCTTGGGTGAGGGTGTCTTGCCATCAGCCTTGAAAGAGGCGGTGGTGAGGCCCCTCACTATTGTCCGGTCTCCAACCTTCCCTTCGTGGCGAAGGTTGTTGAGAGTGTGGTGGCACGACAGCTGCCTGGGTACCTGGATGAAGCTGTCTATCTGGATCCACGCCAGTCCGGCTTCAGGCCTGGGCACAGCACGGAAATGGCATTGGTCGCGTTGGTGGATGATCTCTGGAGGGCTCGGGATAGGGGTTGCTCCTCTATCCTGGTCCTATTAGATCTCTCAGTGGCTTTTGATACCATCGACCATGGTATCATGCTGCGCCGGTTGGAGGGGCTGGGAGTGGGGGGCACCGTTCTACGGTGGTTCTCCTCCTATCTCTCTGACCGGACGCAGTCAGTGTTGGCAGGGGGGCAGAGGTCGACCCCGAGGCGCCTTGTGTGTGGGGTGCCGCAGGGATCAGTCCTCTCACCCCTTCTGTTCAACATTTATGTGAAGCCGCTGGGCGAGATCATCCGTGGCTTCGGGGTAGAATTCCATCAGTACGCTGACGATACTCAGCTGTAGATCTCCACCCCAGGCCATCCCAACGATGCCCTTGAAGTGATGTCCCGGTGCTTGGAGGCCGTGCGGATCTGGATGGGGAGTAACAGGCTTCGACTCAACCCCTCCAAGACCGAGTGGCTGTGGCTTCCGGCGTCCCGATATAGCCAGCTGGCACCATCGCTGGCTATTGGGGGGAGTTATTGGCCCCCACAGAGAGGGCTCGCAACTTGGGTGTCCTCCTGGATGCACGGCTGTCTTTAGAAGAGCATATGACGGCCGTGGCCAGGGGGGCTTTTCATCAGGTTCGCCTGATTCACCAGTTGCATCCCTTTCTGGATCGGGACTCCCTATGCACAATCACTCAGGTGCTCGTCATTTCCTGCCTGGACTACTACAATGCTCTCTACATGGGGCTCCCCTTGAGGTGCACCCGGAGGCTCCAGCTGGTGCAGAATGCGGCTGCGCGGGGTATTATAGGAGCGAGAGGGCGCTCCCATGTGACACCTCTCCTGCACGAGCTGCATTGGCTCCCGGTGGACTTCCAGGTGCGCTTCAAGGTACTGGTTACCACCTTTAAAGCGCACCATGGCATCGGATCTGGGTATTTGCGGGACCGCCTTCTGCCGCCAATAGCCTCCCACCGGCCAGTACGCTCCCACAGAGAGGGATTCCTCAGGGTGCCGTCAGCTAGGCAGTGTCGGCTGGCGACCCCCAGGGGGAGGGCCTTCTCTGTGGCAGCACCTGCCCTCTGGAACGATTTGCCCCCGGAGATACGGAGAATATCAGATCTCCGGGCTTTTCGCCGCGCCCTAAAAACTTTTTTCTTCCATCAAGCAGGGCTGGCGTGAACCCCCCCCCCCAATTTTGAGATATTAGATTTTTTAATTGTTTAATGGGTTTTAGTCATAAGGTTCTTAATTTTTGGCCAAAGGGTATAATTCTTTTAAATTTTTAAATTTTGTATTGGATGTTTTTTACGTGGCTGTGCACCGCCCTGAGTCCACCAGGAGAAGGCCGGTATACAAATTTAAATTAAATAAATAAATAAATAAATAAATAAATAAATAAGGAGGAAAGAGAAGGAGAGGAAGAACTATAAAAAATAATCCAGAAGGTTTGTGGTGACAGGAAGATTGTCTTTGTTTTTGGAGGAAACGTCCAATGGTCTGAAGAGATTCAGAGGAGATGGGCACAAATAGGGAAAGAAAAAAAGAAGTAAAGCATCAGGAAGTTCCTTCGTTCCTTTATTCTGGCATTTCTCAAAATGGGCTGATTTAGAAGGAATCCTTCTAAATCTTTCTGCTGTTTCCTGGATTTTGGCAGCAGCTCAACAGGTAGTGGCACCTGGCCGTAACTGGAGTGGAAGCTCAGCCAGGTAACCGGTGCCCTCTTGTGGAGTTGTGGCTAATGTCACAATATTCCAGCTTGTGTCTTAACGGAGTGTTTCTCAAGCTTGCCTACAAAGATGGGTGAAATTCAACTCCCAGAATCGCTCCACCCACTTGAAGGCATGCTCACTGTGGAATTCTGGGAGTTGAAGTCCATCAATCTTCAAGTGGCCCATCTTGACAGACAATGGCCTAAGGTGACTAGGACTCTATGATTCTGTGAGATGAAAAACTATTAGAATTTCATGTGATCTTGATTCTATCTTTCTACTAATGCAGCCTAGCATTGCATTGGCTATATTGGCTGCTGGCACACACTGTTGGCACATATTGAAGTGATTGTCCACTAGTAATTAATTGTTAATTAATTAACTAAGACAGGTGTCCCCTCATTCTCTTTCACTGGTGCAGGAGGCCCAGACATCCTCTCCAGAAGAAGACAGGGACCAAATTGCCCAAGTACCTCGTCCTGGCCAATCCAAGTTCGGATACAACCCTCGGGGCACCAACCCCACCCTCCAGGCATACGCCCACCAGCTGGCCTCCATGGAGCAGGAGCTGGAGCATTTCCTGAGCGAGGTGTGCAACCGGCAGAGTACCCTGGAGGGGCAAGGCAGGGAAGGAGAGGGACCCCCAGAATCTGAAAAAGTGGGACTCAAACAAACTGCACACCACCATCAGAAATTGCCAACAGTGAGCAGCCAGACCTGGTGTGGGGCAGAGGACACAAGAGGAAGCAAGAGGAAGCTCAAATAGAGAAGGGGGCACTGCCAAACTTTGAGGTGTGTCCAATGGGAGGTTGGCAGCCAGAATGAAGGGGGCTCAGGAGTAACTGGGTATCTGATTTGTCTTGGCACATTTATTAAGAATAAATTATGAATCCAATCGAGACGAGTCCAGGTACACTTCTTCTGTGCGCCAGTCAGGTCATTGGGAAATGGGATGCGGTGCCAGGAGTCAGGGAAGGGTGGCAGAGATGCCCTCATGGGTTGCCGTATGTTCAGTGGGTCTCCTGGATGCTCATGGTCTGTTTCTTCCTGGAAGCTCATTGAAGATAGTTGAACCAATTCACTAGAAGTAGTTTCACAACAGTGGTGGGATTCAGCCGGTTCACACTGATTCACCCGAACCAGTAACTAACCTTTTGTGCAGTTCAGCGAACCGTCTGAATAGTTTGCCTCACCCCTCCCCTCTCAGGCATCTTGGCCTTCTGGCTGCCCACTCGCCTGGCCTCACCACCGCTTCTCTGGCTGCCAAGCCTGAGCAGCTGATCCAAGGAGTGCTGGATTGCAAAAGCCAAGGAGCTCAGTGCTACAAGGAGAAGAAGTGCCAAGAAGCCATCGACAAATCTCACAGGGCGCTGCTGGAGCTGTAGAGGCTGTTGCCCAAGAAGACTCCAAGGATGCCGTTTCGACCTCCTCCTCTGTGGGGGCTACCGGCCTGGGCAAACCCTCGGACGAGCAGAGGCAGCTGCTGGACAGCATCAAAATCAAGTGTTACAACAGCCTGGCAAGTCGGACGGTCACTTTCAGGGGTTTTGGCCCCGGGTGGGAGGGAAGCGGAGGAGAATGTAAGCGGAGGGCTGGGAAGGAAAGGGAGGATCAAGAGGTGAAAAAAATAATTCTTGCGGCAGATTTCTTCTGGCATATACTGTTATGAATTAGCAGCAGTTCATTAGATTTGTGAAGTATTACTCTCGGTAGCTAGTGCTACCAATCTCCCCATCTTCTAATGAATCCATTGGTCACCTTTTCTGTAGATATTCAGGTCCTTCAGAATTTCATTTCTAGAGCCATCGCCATCTAGCCTTCCTCACAACCTGGTGGTGTCCTTTCAGAAGTGCTCTGCCCAGAATTAGACACCAAAAGGGTCTGATCAGGGCAGAGCTGAGCAGAAGGGATCGATGATCTCCTAGAGCCCAATTAATGTACCAGAAGATAAGTTTGGCCTTGGGGCAGCTGCATCTGTGATTGATAAGGACAATATTGCCTTGGTCATCCAGGATGTCTCAGCCAACAGAGAGGCAGCTGTGGACTCTAAAGACTCTTAAGGTCCATCTTTGCCTCCAGTGCTGTCAATAAACTGGGATGTGTTTCACCCTACCTGGCCTCCTGTTCAAACATACCCAGGAAAATTATCTTACAACCGCTGTGTGATGGGAATATGCCCCATTCTGGATTTTGCTATCTTCTTCCTTCAATTTTTCTATTGTATATTTTTTAACCAAACAGTTTAAATGGTTTTTAATGTTTTTATCTTTGAGGTTTGGGGGGGGTTGTTTATGTTCTAATTTTGATGACAGCTACATACATTGAATATATCTTTATTTATTGAATAAATAAAATTTTGCGAGAGTTGTGTGAAGTTATTGAAGTTTCAATTCCCTCCCACCAAAGAGGCAGTCCTATTTGCTGACTGAGAGCGACAATACATTTTGCAGACGTTGGACAAGGCTTCATTTCATTGACATGTCTCACCAGATCATTCTCTACCTGTGCTTCTCAATCCTTCTCTTAGGAGCTGGTAAGTTGTGTTTCTGTTACTGTGTTTCTAGCATTAGCTGCAGTTTCAAACCGAGGCTGAAATTTGGGGCCAAAACAGGGTTTGTTTCCTTGAATCCAGGCAGGATTTGTGGAGGAACTTTCCTGCCACCCAAAAGAGTTGAATTGGAGAAGAACCTCAAGAAAAAGGCAGATAAGATTGAAATAACAAATTCTAGCAGAAGAAATAAAAAACATTTTCTGCATTTTTCTTTACAAAACATAAGAAACATGAAGATAAGCCCATTATTTATGTTTTGTATAAATATGTTACTCAACAGCATAGTCTAGATTAACAGGACCAAAAATTCAATTTCAGACCCAAACATAACAATAACGCAGTGCAGAGCATGTAAATAAACATTTCACAGTCCCATATCATTTTATGTTGATTAAAATAATTACAAAACATTGAAAAAAAATGAGAAGAACAAAAAAAATAAAAAACAGGAAACAGATTTTTTAAAAAGCAAAACCCCAAAGTTCGGAGAATAGATAAATAGTTTTATAATCACCGAGAAATATATTAATTTAAAATATGCCTAGCTAATATTTTAATCATCAATGCATTTGTAAAGGTAGACAATTTGTTAACAGCAGTATCTCTGTCAGTGAGGTTTTTTTATACAATTTTTGTGTAACGTTAAAATGCAGAAACGCTTTTTTGAAGAGTAGCAGAAGGAACTAAAACGGTTCGAATTACCAAATATCACAAAGACAAAAAGTGAAACACAAAATTATCTAAATGCTGAACGGCAATTGAATTAATTGTAAAACTACTTTGGGATTGGATGCTGAAATGCTAACACACTAAATTGCCAAACTCTTCTGACCACCTTCTTGAATGCAACGTCTGGGGCTTTCATGAGCCCCTCACCCATTTCTGGAGTGGTATTGGAATCAGTGTGAGGTTGGGGGACACAGGGGGGCAGAGAGAGGGCAGGACGGCTCAGGTGTTAAAATTCTTGGTATTTGCGAGACCTTCAAGGACCTTTGTACCTATTATTATTATTATTATTATTATTATTATTATTATTATTATTATTATTATTATTATTATTATTATTATTATTATTATTACTTGGTTGTTTGTTTATATTTCATATTTCTAAACTGCCCATGTCCCTCAGAGAGGAGCTGTAGTTAATCTGAATTCTATCAGAATAACAAACTGGAGTTGGAAGGGACCTTGGAGGTCTTCTAGTCCAAACCCCCCCCCCCGCTCTAGCAGGAAACCCTACACCATTTCAGACAAGTGCCTGTTCAGTCTCTTCTTAAAAACCTCCATAACCCACAAATTATGAAGGCAAGCTATTCCTGACAGGTGTCCATGAATTCAGGAATCTCTCCCTCAGGGATATTGTGATAGATCAGGGGTGTCAAACTCATGGTGTCACGTCATCATTGCATGACATATCATGACTTTTTTTCCCCTTTGATGAACTGGGGGCGGGTGTGACTAGCATGTGACACATCTGGCCCACAGACCACGAGTTTGACACCCCTGTGATAGATCCTTGATTTTAATGAATCCAGGGACAATTTCCAAGTTGAATCCTAAAGGAGACTCCAGTGAGGGAGATTAACACCACCCATTGCTATAGGGCATCTTCATGCACAGCGTGCCTTTACATCAATGCCACTGATGATCCCACTGTTATTATTTTTATAAACAATTCAAGGTGGTGAAGTTATCTAATACTATGAAATCGAATTTGGGCCGGTCACTGGGACCAGAGATTTACTCTTTTGGTCCCAGTGGCCAGCCCAAATTCAATTTTGCATCATTATCCTGGGACATGTACATTTGCCTTCATATCTAATGCTCCTTAATCCGTGGAATGGCTTGCCTTCAGAAGTGGTGGGTACTCCATCCCTGGAGGTTTCTAGGAAGAGATTGGACAGCCATTTGTCTGGAGTGGTGTAGGGTCTCCTGCTCGAAGACCTCCAAGATCCCTCCCAACCCTATGATTCCCTGTCCTGGCAATAGCATTACAAATATGAAGAATCAAATACGCCACTTTCTGAGAAGGGATTTGCACAACCATTTGTCTGAAATGGTACAGTATAGAGCTACAGTGTCCAATCTTGGCAAATTTAAGCCTTGTGGACTTCAACTCCCAGAATTCCTCAGCCAGCATAGGTTATTACTGGGACCTGCAGTCCGTTAAAGTTGCCAAGATTGGACACCCCTACTATAGGGTCCCTTCTGCGTGAGCAGTGGGTTGGACTAGAAGACCTCCAAGGCCCCTTCCAACTCTGTTGTTCTGTTATTGGTTTGTAACAAGGGCATTGTGGAAAAGATGCCTACAAGGACATAACAATGGGAGGGAGAGAGAAAAAAAGAGTAGCACATCCCCGTGAGCAGCATGTGAGACTTTTAGCCTGGAGCAAAGGCCATCCCAACAGACCACGCATGGTCTCAAGGAGGTGGGCGGATCCAACTTTGGGACCCTACTTACAGTCACACAGGAAACTGCAACAGAAGCATGAAAGGAGCATGGAAATGCAATTAGATGGGGAATTTTCGAGGGTTGGGGGTGGAGACAGGATCTTCAAAACCAAGCAGTTTGGCTTTTTCTGATAAACATATTTAGAGAACATAAGTTGCTGCAGATAAGGTATAGGGAGCAGATGTGGTGGGTGGAAACTGCTTCCTTAGATTAGGGAACAGTCTGTTTGCAACAAATTTCAAACCTAATATCGTTTTCCCTTAACTTTTTAGCAATTATGGATCTTTCAGGGGAAAAAAACCCATTCCACACCTTGCACCAATTACCAGCATTAGTTTTACGGCATTATTATTCTTAGAACAGAATAGAACTGGAAGGGACTTTGGAGGTCTTCTAGTCCAGCCCCCTTTCTCAAGCAGGAGAACCTATACTATTTCAGATAAATGGCTGTCTAGTTTCTTCTTAAAAACCTTCAGTGATGGAACGCCCAAGATTTCTGGTGGCAAGCTGTTCCACTGGTGAATTGTCCTCATTGTTATGAAATTCTTACTTAGTTCCAGCTTGGATCTCTCCTTAAATTTCCATGCATTACTTCTTGTCCTGCCCTCTGGTGCTTTGGAGAATAGTTTGACCCCCTCTTCTTTGTGGCAGCCCCTCAAGTACTGGAATACCGCTATTGTGTCACCCCATTTCTTCTTTTCTTTAGACTAGCCAGACCCAAATCCTGCAGCCATTCTTCATATGTTTTAGTCTCCAGGCCTTTGGTCATCTTAGTTGCTCTTCTCTGAACTTTTTCCAAAGTCTCAATATCTTTTTTGTAGTATGGTACCAAAACTGGATGCAATATTCCAGATGTGGCCATACCAAGATTTTATAAAGTGGTACTAATACTTCACATGATCTTGATTCTATGCCTCTGTTTATACAACCCAGGTTTTTATCTACTAGAATAACATCAATAATATATTGTTAATATTATTATAATTATTATAAATATAATTAACATACAATAATAACTGCCTGGTGATGCAGTGGTTGAAGTACAGGATTGCAGGCTAACTCTGCACACAGCCTGGAGTTTGATCCTAAGCTCAAGGCTTTCTATCCTTCCGAGGTTCTTAAAATGAAGACCCAGATTGTTCCAAAGGTGCTTTTCCAAAAGGCAACTGCAGTTTCTTGGTTTTTTTCCTTGAAAACATTTTGCTTCTCATCCAAGAAGTTTCTTCAGTTCTGAAGTGAAGCTGAAGAAGGAGAAGTGAAGAAGCTTCTTGGATGAGAAGCAAAATGTCTTCAAGGAAAAAAACCAAGGAAGTCTTTTGGAAAAGTACCTTTGGGACAACCTGGATGACTGAGAATCTCCAGAAGACCAGATTGTTTGGGGGCAATATGCAAATAACGCTTCAACATTGTATACCGCCCAGAGAGAGCTGCAAAGTGCTATGGGGCAGCGCATAAGCCTCAATGCCTTTGCTATTAGATCTCTATTCTCCTGACTGTCAACCCTGAAGCCATTTTGGAGCTTCTTCAGGGCTGCCACAGCTGGGCTGGCTGGAGCTGTGGGAATGGGAGGGGGGAATAGAGATAGGAGGGGATCTGTAGCCAAAATAAAATTCTCTCTCCTGGGAACCAAGAACGTTCCCACCAGGTGCTGGGGAGGCATGGACTGAAACCAACTGGAGTTGGGACTGTGACCTGGTTGGACCATGTGATGGGCATGTGGACTGAGGGGAAGAGCTTTGATTTTTAATTTGGGTGGGGAAAACCTTGGGACCTTCAGAGTCAGATTTTCACCAGATGTGCCAATATGACATGCCTAATAAATCTAGATTTTGAGGAGAAGCTTGGCCTCGAAGTTTTGATTGCATTGGGTCTGTTACTTGGATCCCTGACACTGACAGCAAGCTACCCCAACCCAAATTATCGTTATGTCAAAAAAAAATATTAAGTTATAGAGCAGAGGGGGTATTCAGTCGGTTGGCCCCGGGTTGCGCGAACCATTGGTGGAAATTTGGCCAAGGTCGCCGAACTGGTAGTGATGGCCAGCTGGCCACACCCCTGAACTGGTCCCCCGGTTGCTGCTCACTCACCCCGCCAGTCATGTTCATCACCTCCATGTTCTTCATGCACGTGCATCCCATTGCCTTGCAAGTCCAACAGGATGCACATGCACGAAGAACATGGCAGCGATGGCAGCAGCTTTTTCCGCGACCTCTGGTACTTTTCAGCAGCCTGCTTCTTTGCCAACCACTTTCCAGCAGTGGCGGCTGGCTGGGGCTGCCAAAAACTCTGGTCAGGTTGCCTTCTGGACTCTGGACCAGCCGCCGTGGAAGGTAAGCAGCCCGAACAAAGAGCGGGGGGGGAGGAAGTGAGGCTAGGGCCGAGGCTGCTAAATGAGGGGAAACGGGGGCGACTGGTGAAAGAAGGGTGGGTGTAAAATAGGTGAAAATTCCAAATATTTTCCTACCTTTTCCTGTGGATGTGGCTAGGTGGGGGGGTCATGTGACTGAGTGGGCATGGGCATGAGTGATGC